TAGAGACGTTATTTCCGGGTCCAATACATTGGTTTTCGTGCACGTCAGTAAGTCATTGACAGATTTTTCCCCCCAGTCTTTGAAGCATATTTCCTACATTACTTCTTTTATTCATTTTTTTTGTTCAGTCATTCAATTTTGATGTGTATTTCTATTTTTCTAAATTAATTTTAAAAAACGAGTAATAAAGTGTACAATAAAGCACAATCAAAACTTTATATTATAATCACATTGCACTTGAATAAAGTTAAAGGTGCAATCTGCCGATTGTCCTGCAGGTGACCGCATAAATCTGTCTTCTTACGATGCACTTAGGACTTTACGATTACTCCAGAGCACTCGTAGATCTACGATGATTTTCTTAACTTACGTTTAACTTAAGTTTAAGTTATTTAACTGCTCTATTAAGATGAGTCGTTCCACTCGTAGATCTACGATGATTTTCTTAACTTACGTTTAACTTAAGTTTAAGTTATTTAACTGCTCTATTAAGATCAGTCGTACGATCGTTTTTACGAACTTCTTAGGCTTACGAAGCTTTTGGGAAACGCAGCCCTGGATGTAAGGTGTGGTCTTTGAAGTTTAAAACTGTTAGATCGGGGTGAAAGGGCCACCGAAGAGATCTTCTGCAACAGCTATCAACCTGTAGCTTTCCACTGAGGGCTTGAGCATTGTCAGTATGACAGGGGCGTAGCCATCATTTCAGAAGTGAGGGGGACAGAAATGTTTCTATTTACTATTTAAAATAACTGCTTTCTATTTGAATACATTTTAAAATGATTGCTGTGATCAAACCTGAATTTTCAGCATCATTACTCCAGTCTTCAGTGTCACATGTTTCAGAAATCATTCTAATATGCTGATTTGCTGCTCAAGAAACCTTTTTTAAAAATAGCCTAGTAAAAATATTTCAAAATGTTACTGTTTTGCTGTACTTTGGTACTTTCAAATAAATGCAGGCTTGGTGAACAGAAGAGACTTCTTTAAAAACATTAAAAATCTTACTGTTCAAAACTTTTGACTGGTAGTGTATAGTCAACTTTAATTTTTCTCTCATTTCTAGCTTTTAATTGGCTTAGAAATTAAAAAACTGCTGGAATAATTTCAATACTGTAATAAATGCTATGTCAGTTAGCACTGCATTGTTCATATACTTTGGAGATGACTTGACAAACACAAATAAACCATATTGTCGCAATCGTATGTTTAAAGTCTTCATGTTTCCAAAAACGTTTCTGTTTTTCTGAAAACAACTGTTTTCATACAGCAATAGCTGGACGCTTTTGTCCATATTAGGAATTTCCTCATACGACTTTCTGCGCGAGAGCGCCCTCCGGCTTCGAGTATGAATTAAACATACACTGCATGGAATGTTTAGTGCTCCTGATGTTCATCTCGCCTTATTCTGGGTCCGAATAAAACATCAGATCATGCACAGACTATCCTGTCTCTTTGAATTTAAATCTATATTTATTCACACCGGCTCTTGAAAACCTCTATGCCAACACACTTGCCCGAAAATTGCGGGGGACGAATTTACGTGATATTAAAAGTGTGGGGGTACACGTCCCCCGCGTAATCTACGCCCCTGAGTATGAGAATCCTTCTGGGAAAGCTAAGATAAGGTTGCTGCAGGATGAAGGCCAAAAGGGGGCGCTCATCATGTGCTCTGTGCAGGTTCTAACGCCCGCAGTAAAGTGATAATAATATTATATAGGAATATGTAAAAGGCACCGTTCTTCAAATAAGATTTTTAACCCTATAGGTCTTTTTCAGAAATACTAGGGGTGTGAGAGTCTAGTTGTACTTAAGGTGATGCCTCTATACTTTTTACAAATTGCTTTGAGTGGAATACCAGATAACCACCAAAAAACTTCAAGATGACAAAATTTATAATTATTTAATTATTGTGATTTAGTAATAGGTCATTTGTGAATGATTCATTCAAAGTGAACAAATCTTTTATGTGACTAACTCAGTAATAAGTTGTCTCGGTGAGTGAATT